TTTCCCCTGCAAAGAGCTCTTCAAAGCTTCCAAGCTCCGCTGAACTACAGACGCATACTTTTGGCTGGCATTTGTTCCTTGAGATGTCAATTTTAAAGGTCGACTATTCAAAATGCTCTGGAGTCCCTTGCACATTGTCTCAACCAAGTACACCACAAAGAATAAATTGCCTGCTATACACTTTCATCTACCAGACACTGTCCATGCCAAATGGTCTCAGCTTGAGTCAATACTTGTTCAGCTATGTGACTTGCTTGTCAAAATGTTCCAAATAGTATACAAGACTGAGAAGGCATGTGTTCTTAACTCTTCCACTCCAAAACTGTATGCTGACTCAGGTCAAAAACAAGGCCAGAGCACTAAGGGGTATTTTCAGGAATGAGACACCTTGTTGCGTAAGGATATGGAGAAGGAAAGCCTTTCAGAGAAGGACAGAAGAGAAGAATTCATGTGACATGCTTTTGAAACAAACAACCTGCCTACTCATAGATTGGTGTAGATCTGGGAAGACCAGAATGCATGGTCATTAAGAAGGGTTGTAGGCAAAAAGAAAATCAAAGAGGCATGAAATCAATATCATCCAACTCAGTGGCAGTACAACTAACTCAGTAGACAGTGAGACCTTTGGGAAGGCTTTAATCCTAATGTTCAGAGTGGTAACGAGAATGATGACAAGAACTATGACTACAACACTGGCAAGTGGGCCTACAAGTTTGACAACTTGTCTCTGGTATCTGAATCTCCGGCTACAGGCAATCTCGGGCATTTGATTTTAGAGGAAGCAAGTTTGGCACCAGACAGGTCACGAGAAAATTGAGCTTTGGCGTTTGACTGCAGGCCATCTCCAATGTGTGAGCAAGACCAGAATCACAGATACTCTTCCCAGCAATGACCTCGTAGATTCTGTGGGCAAAGTCAGTCTCCCAGTCACCTACGAGCACATTGGAATCACAAATGAAGTTGGTCTTCCTATTATTGGCAAGTAGGTTCAGATTGAGAACGTGGCTGATTTCCTCATCGCTGGCAGCCTACTTGTAAGAATAGAAACCAAAGCCAGACGCTCTAGAACAGGCGTTCTTCTTACGAGGTATATGGCCGTACTCACATCTCTTGTTATCCAGGTTCTTTCTGCAGAGCGTATCAGCAAGATTGCACTCCTTGCTGCTATTCTTTGCTTGATTGTTCACAGTCCCCTCATGTGAAATACATGATCTGGTCACCTTAATGTTCACAATCTCCCAGAGCTTCAGAGCATGGTTCCTTTACTTGCTCTCAAAGGCACAATTAACAAATAGGAAGCCCTGACGCTTGTAATGAACGCTCTTCTTTCTTTAGCCCCTCTCATCATAATGTGGCTACTGCCATGCACTATGATTTTGACCCTTAGAAGTTCACGAACGCATTCAGATTCTGTCTCGAGGACCTGATCATTGCCGATGAGCCTGTCCATGTAGAGCCCATCCTCACAATCCTTTGATATTGATGTGGCTTCAAGGTGGATGCATCTTACGTGTCAACAGCAGAAACAAGCAAGATCCGGATCAATGGCTCTGTGCAGTGGTTGCATCGTGTGATAGGCTTTGATCCTGGAACCAATGATGTTCCTGCTGTCTCACAAAGTGCTGTCAACAATTTCGTGGGCTTTTTGGCTCGTTTATTTCCACCCCACCACAGCTGTGTGATCTCATGGTCAACAGCTGCAATGACTTCCTACAGGTGGTAAATTCACCTATGACCATCAGCAAGGCTACCTTACAAATTCTACACGACATGAGCCAGCAAGACGTCTACATCATCAAGCCCTGCACTTTCAATGCTGCTGGCAATTGGCCCTGGCAGCTTATTGTGGAAAGTGCTGCAATAGCTGCTGAGATCTTGTGGCACCCATGGGGCACAGAGAAGATCAGCGTTGTTTGTGAGCTCACGAAGTGGGGTATTCCTTTTAGAACGGTGCTTCCAGTTTTCAAATGAAGTCTGTCCCTGCCCCACATGAAGAAGTCTGGTCTCTACTGTGGCCTTGGTATTCAGCAGCTGGGCTTCAAGACATCCAAGGAAGAGTACACTATGTATGAGGACGCTCGTGATGACTTCCTCTTGTGCAGCCCACATGCTATACAGGCTGCATTGGGTGCAGGTGGAATTGTTTGGCAACTGGCTGTTCAAAGACTCCATTCAACCCTTGTCGCAGGGTTCCAAGGCTGGTCGAGCCACCAAGCAATGGTGTTACTGAACGGGCACTCTTACGTGACTGATGTCCTTACTCAGCACAAAGAGGACTTGATCTGTGGTGTGTACAGGGTTCTTGTGTGTGGGTATTCCTATAACTATTGTTTGTTGCATGCCACTAATTCACCATAGTACATTCTACGGTAAGTGCCACCAATTATTCTTGGTGGCCGAAGCGATCAAC